GAGCACCCAGAGAAGATAAGGACCTAACGAAGATTTAACATTGCAATTGGTAGAGTTATTAGTTTAAGAATCATGAGTTTTACAGTGAAAGAGCACAGTTTTAGAAAATATTCAAGCATATAGCCCCTTTTGTGCCTTGAGAGTATTTTGTGAAAAAAATTGCACTGAATTGCACGTCAACTCTGACCCTCACAACTATCGGACTCAATCAAAATTAATTTACTTGAAACTGATTGAAGCGTCCAAAGCACAAACAACAGGAAAACATGTTGAAAACTTCATCATAGATCCATCATTGGCATGCCCATCAAAAAACATTAAAGCCAAAGAACATTAAACAATCAATCCTAAATCTTAAATAAAAACCAAAAGAACTGCGGAAGTTGTAAGTCAGGAACAAAAACAGGAGTTGCTGGAAAAGCTCAGTTGGTTTGGCAACATCTGTGAAGAAAACAATCAGAGTTAACGTTTCAGGTCCGGTGACCCCGAGTGACCGACCGGACCCGCAACGTTAACTCTGATTTTTTTCTTAACAGACACTTCCAGACCCGCTGAGCTTTTCCAGCAACTTGTTTTTGTTTTTTAATCCTAAATCTTAAATCGATTTGTGAAACAATTCAGTTTTCTTCTGTAATTGGAACTGCGTCAAATCAAAAAGGATCATACGTATGAGGATAAAAAGATAATGAGACCTATTTAGACCAAGGTCTCAACTGGCAAGAGACACACACGATAGCTTCATCCAAGTTCTTTTCAAACAACTTTGCTGACATAGTAGCAAGTTTCCACTTGCGTCCCAACAGTCATTGTGTATATTAAGTAAAAAAAAACTCAAAACAAATGGTAATATTGAAGCTGCCAGAAAGATGCATGCCTTTAGACATCATTGGATCAATACTGCACAAGCAAAGTGCATTTTTGCAAGTTGTGCAACAAAGTTTCTGTCAATGTTTTTGGAAGACAAGAAAGGCTCAAAATATGAAAAAACTCCAGAGGCACTGTGTTGGGAGTGACCTGTACCTGGTTATGTAAGGTGACCTGCACCTGAATACACTAAGCAGCCCATGCCTGCTTACAAGATGCAAGACAGACGCCAAGCAAAACTAAGCAGCCTGCTCACACAGTGAAATACAATGGTATCTTTAAACACAATTGACATAAGGTCAGTAAAAGAATACTGTATATTCCCATCGAGACAGTTCTGATAAAAAGATGCCTTAGGACAGATAAATGACCAATTCGTGCCTCATTAATAAAAGGATGACTGTCCCAATAAATGAATAACATCAGATGCTAGATTAAGTCCCTAAGCAGCTGCAAGGTCGAGAGCTAAAATTATTTCGTAGTAATGCTTCTTTAAAGTTACCTGCAATATTAAATAGTTTCTCGTTTAAAATGCTTTAATCACAGAAGTTGGTTTCAATACCTGACCAGAATATAATACAAGCATTAAAAAAAAATTGAAGCTTAGATGCGAAGGTTAACTAGCCTTAGGAGACGCCTTGTCTTATGCCCTGAACAAGATAGATTGCTCACAACACATAAATTAGAATATCCTAACAGAAGTAGATGTGTAACTTTTAATTAACCTTACAGCATAAGTTAACTAATTGCTATAAGGTTAAAACTAACTGACTGTTTATTTTTACATCTTGCAATTGGGACAGTGGGAAAATAAGAGGAACTGAATGTGATAAAAGACAGCACCAAAATACAATGGATAATGGAATTCAACCTGTCCCTACTGATAAAGCAGCCTGAGAAAGATCCATAGGAGTACAGCCATTAAACAAATGGAATGCAAATGAATAGGATGCATGAAAAGATCCCAAAGCATAGCAATTACAATGTCTAGCTAATATCATGGACACCTGGGGCTGTCCACAGAAGTGCCCATCATTGATTCGGTGTCCTACAGGATTGGGTGTTTGGACTAAGGGGAAACAACAGTGAATACATGGTGTTTGATTATTCAGAAACAAAATGTAAAAGAATGCTGTATTTCTTTCGAAAAGTAAAGGGTGTGTCATTGATCTATCCTCCGAAGCCAGATTTGGGGAAGATCCTTTGGCTCTCTCCCTGCATAAATGGGCTCCTGCTTGAATAAACATCTTTCGCTTGCCCGAATCCTGCCTGCCTCCTGAGTTTTTGTCCCTGGTCGGGAAAAACGCTCCTGCACAGTGAAAATTTACAAATTGAGATGCAAAATAAAAAGATTTACACTAAAAGAAATATAGAATGCCAAGGTTTAATTGTGACATAGAAGTGCTGGTATTGGACTGGGGTGAACAAGGTCAGAAGTCACATGACACCAGTTTACAATCCAACAGGTTTGTTTGAAGTCACAAGCTTTCGCAACGCTGCTCCTTCGTCAGATGGACTCCACCTGATGAAGGAGCAGCGTTCCGAAAGCTTGTGATTTCAAATAAACCTGTTGGATTGTAACCTGGTGTCATGTGACTTCTGACCAGCTTTAATTGTCACAAGACAAAGACAGATCGAGATGCATATTAGGATATGTGGCGAAGCTTAGATCATGACTGAATCACAGCCCATCATGGTCATACACAGCAAAATTTACCTTCAATATCCAATTTGAAATATTCTAGGCTCTTCCAACTTGCCCCGTTCCACAATTAGGACAGATGAACCAACAGTAGCAGCGTAGTGAAATACAGTCAAGATGGAGTCACCCTCAAATCCTCAACTTTGAAGCCAAGTCCCATGAAATGTCATGGCATTAGGACGAACACAGAAACAGAAACTCAGTGTTGATCCCTAAATAATGCTGCACCTTGAGATGATGACATAAAACTCTTCCGTGTTCAATACCACTGGGAAGTAGCAGTGAGGTTGTTAAGGCACTCTGGGTGAGGTACATTATTGCTCATCACCAACAATGGCCCGGGAGGACCATTACTGACAAATGTGACCAAGCCCCAAGGTCAAAGCTAACTAAATGGGCTTGTGGCAAGTGATGAGAACACCAACAAGACAGAAAAACCTACTTGACTCTCCACAGAAATTCTGTCTGTCACAGGTGCAGAGTCCTCCTCAAGGCCAAGACTGAAATCTACTTCTGCACCACTGCCTGGAGGCTATGTTAGTGGACTAGTCGTCAACAGCTCCAAGTTAATATCAGGGGGCACAGGTCTGAAAAGAGTTACGGCAGATTCTGGGAACTTAATTCAAAAAAATCTGAAAAACAGAGCTAGCTTAACTGCTGTTGATTATTATAAAAATCCATCTTGTTCCTGAAACGTGATAAAGGGAACAAAATCTACCATCCTTACCTGGTCAATCTGACATGCAACTCCACACACTCAACACTGTGGCTAACTCTTAACTGCCCTCTGGGAAATGAGGGATGTGCAATAAATGTTGGCCAAGCCAATGATGCCCACATCCCATTAATTAATTTAAATACGTCACTTGCCTGAATCCTGAATCTCACCCACATTCACAAGAATGAATTAAAATACCGTGGTGTGCACTATCACGGTGCTCATTGAATAGAGTTGGAACATACCTACAGCTCACAGCTGGGCATCCCTGACGCATAGCAGGCCATAAACAACAGAAATGCATCCAAATACCATCTTACAGTGGCCCAGCACAACCCTCAGACAACAATTACCAACAAAGCGCTGGGACAAAACTAGTTCAATCCAGAAGTTCACAAAATAATGTCAGGAGCAGCACGGGGGTGAGATGTGAACCTGAGGCTATGAGGCAGGACCACATGCATTCTACCAAGTAGAAGCAGCATGCCAAAGCTGAGCAATCCCACAAGCAAATGATCAATCCAAAAATCTGCAGTACTAGCAAATCGAGCTGTTCATGGGGGTGGGCAATGAAACTAAAATAAAGAGGCTCCACATCACTACATCCTCAGTGATGGCCAACATCAGCAAATCAGTACAAGGTACAAGGGTAAAATGTTCACAATCATTTTGAGTCCCAAATGTTACTGAATGAATGATCCACTTAAGCCTCCTCACACAGTTTCCAACATCAGAGATGCCAGTCTTCAGTCAAAGTAATTCGTTCCCAGTAGAAACACAAACTGGCTCACATTATTGGACAGCGAAGGTTATCGGTCCAGATAACACTTTCAGTGGTGGAAGTGGTGGTGCAGCAGTGGAGAAGCGAGTCTTAGAGATGGAGACTGTCAGAAAGCCGGGACAGAGGTAAATACTGTACAGGTACTAACAGGAAATTTAGGTATTTAAAAATGTGTCAGCAGTGCTGGGAATAACCCATGTAGGACCTGGGGTGTGGGGTTGGGTAAAGAACATTGAGGTAGAGTTTCACACTCTGAAATTGTTTAACTCCATGTTGAGTCCTGAGGGCTCTAAAGAAACCTGGGCAGAAGATGAGATGTTGCTCCTGCAGCTTGCATTGAGCTTCACCGTCCAACTTCAGCAAGCCCGAGACAGAAATGTTGGCATGGGAACACAGTAGTGTGCCAAGATGGCAGGCAGTCGGAAGCTCGGGGTCATTTTTACAGACAGAGTGGTGGTGTTTGAGGAACAACACCTCATGTTCCACCCAGGTACCTTACAGATCACTCTGCATTCTTAAGTCAGACTGGTGCTCAACACTTGGGCTTTCAACTTCAAAGTACTCATTTTGGCAAGACATTGGAGGATGGCAGATGTGGAACTCTCCCAGTGATAGTTATCTCAAGACAAGAAAAAAATTGAAGTACAAAATCCTGAATGTAAAGCCACCTCTGCTGTTCGTCATTTGGCTTGGTTGGTGATTCACAGTGTATTCATTTCATAGACTCATTACTGCCCATTTTGGATTCCTTAATTGTTACATTTAATGGGAGCTAAATAAATCCATGAAGTAGAAAAGAAATGGGTACACTGACGAGGTGATATGAAGATGGGTGGGAGACAATTCGAATAAAACGTTCACACCTGTATCAATCTCTTCAGCCGAACTGCCTATATTTATCTCCAATGTTGTATGGAAAGTGCTGGCAGTCTTACCAAGATGCAGCGTCCAGGTTCTAAGCTCCACATAGAGTTTTCTGTATTGATCTTATGTGTCAGCTTTCCATCCACAATGACTCGCTCACAACCTCCTTCCAATACAGCTACACGCAGACTGTTGCTTTGTATGTCAACAGAAACCTGTGTGTAAACACAAATGCAATTACAGCCTTTCTCATTTTCTAACCAGCATCACTTGTACACATCAATTCTACTTCCTAATTACATTTTATGTGAGTCAAAAAGATTTTCATAGTCTCAAAATACTTCACTGCAATTTCAAGTCTGTATTCAGCTTTCAGAGCTTTGATCATCCCTGGCTTCTGCCAAGTTTTCAATCGATGACTAGATTTCTATGCTGAATCTGAGGGGATAGAACTGAGGCAGCAAACTGAAGTAATTCCTCCGACAAGTAGAATAGACGAAAGCCTAATTTTAGAAAGTAAAGATTAGTCTCCAGCACAATGTGCACAAAATGCCATGAAATGGGTGTAATTACGTGTTATGCTTTGGAATGTATAGCCTGTTTGGTGAGTAGAAACAGGTTCAATAACAACCTTCAAAGAGAATTAGATAAACATGTGATCAGGGATGAAACTACAGGGATTTGAAGAAAACTGCACAGGCAGTGAGCCTAACTAAAATATGTTGTTAAAGAGCCACTATGCACCAGATACATCTTTTGGTGTCTTACAATGCATCCAGTCATCAGCCTTCTGCCCATCCTGCATCAGGAACTAGCACACAGCTCAAAATTTGGGAATATTTTGACTACAGCATTCAATGCAGAAGTTTGGACAGAACACAGCACAATGCCCCGTTAGTAGTGGAAATTTACACTTACCAAATGAATTACATTATCTTGCATGGTGTTAAACTTCCTCAGTGCTGTTGCAGCTGTACTCACCCACCTCAGCAGAGGCTATTCCAATACACGCTTGACTTCAGCCTTGATGGGAGACAGGCTTTGAGAACCAAGGGAGAATTACTGTCCTACAGCTGAGCTACAATATTTACTGCGTGTGCCTGTCCCCATTCAGTTTTTGGACAATGCTAACAAGGGGATTCAGTGATGGCAATGCTAGTGAATGCACACTGTCCTAGATGATGGTGAGACTGCATCTCAAGTTTGATATATAGTCTTGTCTCCGTATTTAAAAATGATAGACTGGCATTGGAGGCAGTTCAAAAGACATTAATTGGGCAGATTCCTGGCACAAAAGGGTTAACTTATTGAGAACAGCTCATTACATTAGGGTCTTTATTCATGTGAGTTAGAAGAATGAGAGATGATCTTCTTTAAACATACAAGATTTTGAGGAGGCTTGACCGGGTAGATGTTAATATGATTCCACTAATGGAGGTCTCTCAAACTAGGGGACATAATTACAGAATAAGGGGACAATGAATTAAAACAGAGGTTGAGTCATACAGCTGGACAGCATGGAAAACAGACCCTTGGGTCCCAACTCGCCTATGCTGACCAGATACCCCAAATAAATCTGGTCCCATTTGCCAGCATTTGGCCCATATGCCTCTAAACCCTTCATATTCATATACCTATCCAGATGCCTTTTAAATGCGTTAACTGTACTCCACCTCCTCCTCTGGCAGCTCATTCCACACTTGCACCACCCTCTGCATGAAAAAGTTGCCCCGGAGATTACTTTTAAACCTTTCCCCTCTCACCTTGAACCGATGCCCTCTAGTTTTGGACGCTTATACCCTGGGGGTAAGACCTTGGCTATTCACCTTATTTGTGATTTTATAACCCTCTATAAGATCACCTGTCAGCCTCCGACGCTCCAGGGAAAAACGGCCCTGGCCTAATTAGCCTCTCCCTACAGCTCAAACCCTCCAACATCCTTGTACATCTTTTCTGAACCCTTTCAAGTTTCACAACATCCTTCCCACATCAGGGAGAACAGGATCGAACACAGTATTCCAAAAGTAGCCTAACCAATGTCCTGTACAGCCACAACATGACACCCAACTTCTATACTCAATGCACTTTCCAATAAAAGCAAGCATAGCAAACACCTTCTTCACTATCCTGTCTACCTGCAACTCCACTTTCAAGGAACTATGAGCCTGAACTCCAAGGTCTCTTTCACATGTTCCCAGACCCCCCGTCAGTTTGGACCTCCACTGTTGCTGTATTTCCACTATTTATCCTTCAAGTCCAAAAATCGATGTCCTCACACTTGACTTCACTGAAATCCATTTGTCATTGTTTTGTCCGTTCAAATAATCTATTAATATCTTTTCGTAATATCATACTTCCATCTACCCTGCTTACAATGTTACCTATCTTCCTGTCATCAGCAAATTTGATTGTGTCACTTTCTAATTCAAGTTGATAATAAATATAGTAAGTAGTTGAGGTCCAATACATCCTCATGGGATACGATTAGTCATATCCTGATAATCAAAGCATGCGTCTATTATCATTGCTCTCAATCTCCTGACACAGTCAATTTTGCAACCAGATTAATAACTTGCCTTTAATTCAATGAGCATTAAGTGTAAGGGATTTCAATAAATGCCCTTTGCAAGTCCAGATTAAAAACTTCATTGATATTCCCCTCGTGTATAACTTCAATCACCATCCAATAAAAAGGTGTGAAAGGATTTCTACTCCCAGAAGGCAGTCAATTCTCTCACTCATTGACTTGTACTGGCTTGATCACATAGTATTTACGGATAGATAGATGTGTGAACTATCAAGGAGTCGACGGTGATACTGAGCTGGGAGTTGAAGCCTGGCAATGATCAACCGTGATCTTGTTGAATAGCAGGGCGGGTGTGGGGACCGAATGACCTATTCTTGCCCCTATTTCTTATGTTCTATGATGTTATGGATTGCAACGGTGCACAGACTTGCTGGACGTGTGTTACGTGTTCTGACATTTTTAATTACTTTATCACATGCCAACCCACTCTTATTGATGTGGGTTTAATGATGAACTTGCGAGAATTGATGGAGCCTTTTTTAATGAAGTATGAGACCAATGCTTTCTGGAGTGATCGTGGGAATTTCTTTTTATTGGGAGAGTTTTACAAGCAGGTGGAGCTCAATTTTAGAAGCATTATCTTGCTTTCAGCTTAGAAACATCAGAAATACAACTTTTTATGTACAGGGAAAAATTCCATATCTTGAAAAGCTTTTTTAGTTGAAATTTGCAGAAATCCTGGTTGAAGCAAGAAGTTGCAAACAGTTGACCTTAGAGAAAGGAGTTAATTCAGCCAAGTTAGGAAACAAGTCAAGTCAGGAGAAGGATTTGACTTGAAAAGGCCCAGAACAGAATGGCGGCGGGGGGAGGCGATTCAAAGCTGAGAATATCCAAGTTCCATTGTGTAAAAAAATCAAAGAAGATGCTATCAATCTCTCAAGACTGGGAATATAAGTTAACAGTTCAGTCAAACTGATGTGATAGAGAAGTAAATTCTCACTAATGTTTGAGCACTATATGGTGATGGGATAAACCCCATTGAACAGAGATAAAACAAAAATAATCAATCAAGCCAGATTTCAGTCTGGGATCTGACTTGTTCGGTCATAACATCAGACAGGAACGTAATATTAGGTTTTATATTTCGGTACCTAGTCTCCTTCAGTCTTCTTTCTCCATCACAATTTTCTGCCTGCACCTTCTAAAGCAATGAACTTGTCTTAAATTCTTTGCCTCTGCTAAGATATCTGTACCCCACCCAGTAGCCTGTTCTTGTCTAAGACCAAAGGCTGACTATCATCACTGATTTTTTTTCTGTCCGAGTTTGACACATGCTTACCAAAAGACGCTGTGGTTTAGCATTCAACAGCAAAAGTTGTTAGCTGCACCAAACTGCTGCTGCAGCCGAGGTCAGAAATCAAACCTGGGAGTTCACCAGGACAGTTTTGTGGTGAACTGGTTCAAGTCATGACCAATTTATTCTTCAGCATGACACTCTTTCATTCTTTCAAGACAGAATTGTGAACTCTAACCTGGAACACAATGAGGCTCACTCATTTGAATAAGTTGCGTGCCATGCAGTAGATGGAATCTTACCTGTCTTCCTTTTACAATTGCCTTGGACACTGGCACCTTCACTTCCAGGTCAGTGTAATCCTGGGACCAAGTGTAGTTGTCCCTCACAGCTCCATTGTAACTGTCAGAATTTTCATCACATTTCCTGCAAATAAACCAACCAAGTCAGCACAGGCAACGTGTTATTCCTGCAGTTGTATGACAATAACACTGTAGAAAGTGACTTTCCCACTTGCCAATACCAAGGTCAACAACATTCTTCACACAAGAACAGAGCCATGTGTACCCAACCATTAATGAAAAACCCAATGCAAAATATTGCCATTTCTTTTAAACTCGATGTCCAAAATGGTACAAACTCTAAGATAATTTCATGACATGGATTCACACCAATTAAATATTTCATCAGTATCCACCAAACACAACCTACAGATCACTTCAGCTGGACATAAATTAAACCCAGCTTGATGAAGCTTCAGAATAATCTAACTTACAGCAATTTTCCATTTGTGTTTTGTTTTATATTTGTGACGTAGATCACCCTTGACCCAGCCAAAGGAACTTAACAGCCAAATCGGTTCCATGTGGTACCTTAACCAATAACTCAGCCAGTTTGGAAGTGGTTTTGGTGGTGAAAAACTGTGCAGTGGTTAGCTCAATTTTCACTCAGGCAGCTTCATCATTGGGATACGATGTACACTTATCTACAGTAAGAGGATTAGATTCATTTTTCTTTATTAATGAAATAACAAAAATCTTCATTTACATCTTCCTGATCAACTGTTTTAATGGCACTCAGACAATATTGTCGTAAAATTCAGGAATAAGACCGGTTGCTGCGGGCATTTAGCAGAGAGGGGTCCAACAAAAAAATCTGTATCGTTTTAAATGTATCTCATGTTTCAAGAATGCATTTTAATTTTTGGCTTTTAGTGCAAGTCAGGCATCCAGTGTACTAAGTCACTAAATGCACATTTTTTTTTTAAACACAGGCAGAAATATCCTGCTGTCTTTGGGATTCCATTCTATAAAGTGCCATGAACATGGTATGCACTGTTGCACTAGTCCCATTCCTCCACTGGGCACATAACATCAAAAAAAGACTTTCCCTGGTTGCTTTCAAGGCCAAATAGATACTTCATCCAAATCAGGTTTTAAGTGAAAAGATCAACTGATCAGACTTCTTTGAAAAGACAGTTATTGGTTTACTATCAAAACTAAACGTAATCAAAGTCCAAGAATTTCTTTGCACAAACAATTGGTAATAAGTACAAATATTTATCAGTCCAAACACAACACACACGCATTTCAGGAGAGGAGAAAACGAGAGGATTTATTTCTGCAGAGGTTAACAATTGAAAAGAAAACTGGCCATGACAGGCAAAAAGGATAAAGGCATCCAACGTGCCAAAGTCCGTGCCAAAGCTCAACACTATGACCATGGTTCTTTTGGAAGAGAACTCTTGATCTTGTATCATCCAGTTTCCTGTTTGAACACACTATTTCCCATCCAGAGGCAGGGATCAAAGTAGTTAATTGATGCGTAAAAGCTGCAATGTCATGGTGTAGAAGTGCTGGTGTTGGACTAGGGTGGACAAAGTGAGAAGTCACGTGATGTCAGGTTATAATCTACCAGGTATATTTGAAATCACAAGCTTTCGGAGTGCAGCCCCTTAGGGGCAGGAATTAGTTTGACCCCCAAATAGACTGCAGTGTATGGTTTTGGTCTCGCGATAGATGTTATTGCAACAGTGCAACTGAAGTTCGCCAAACTTATTCACGGGATGGTGGGACTGTCCTAAGAAGAGAGATTAGGCAAACTGAACCTGCACTCTCTGGAATTTCAAAGAATGAGAGGTGATTGCAGTGAAACTTTAAAAATACTTCAAGGCATAGACAGGGTATATGTAGGCAAAATACTTCCCCTGACTGGGAAGACAAGAACCAGGGACACAAATGAAAAAGTCAAAGGGAAACCACTTAGGTGTGAGATGAGGATTCCTTTTTTTTAATATCAAAGGATTGCGAACCTTTGGAATACTCTGCAACAGAGTGCTGTGGAAGCTCAGTCTAGCAATGATATTCGGGGTTGCAGGGATGGAGTAGGTAAATTCCATTCAAACGTTTGATCAGCCATGAGTGAATGGTAGGGTCAGCCGATGGCCTAAACAGCCAACTCATATTCATAAATCCCTAATGTCAAGGACTCACATACAGGTCATTAAGTGTGTGGTAACCAGAAGTGGATGCAATATTACAGATGTGGCCTGACAAGGGTTTTGTGCAGATTCAGCCGAACACAAGAACATAAGAAATAGGAGGAGTCGGCCATCTTGTCCGTTGAGCCTACTCTGCCATTTAATAAAATCATGCCTGATCTTTGCGTCGAATCAGCTCCACTTAACTGCCTGTCACCATAACACTTAATTCCTTTACTGTTCAAAAATGTATCTATCTTTGCTTTAAAAACACTCAACGACATAGCCTCAAATGCTTCACTGCACAGGGAATTCAAAATATCTATTTATGAAGTCCAAAACCCCATGCATTTAGTTAACCATGCTCTCAATCCATGCGCATGCTGTTCTATTATCCTTCTGCTCCTGTACACTATTTCGAATGATGGGATTGCCTCCTGACCCTTCTAACAAAAACCATCTTGTCAAACCTCTCTGTAAACTTTGCCAGTGTCTGCTCACACTACTAGCCTGTTTTGTGGCAGGCAATTAGTACTGTCCTCACTGTTTGAAATTCCTGCAGTGTGATATCATTGCCAAATCTTGAAATTATACTCTGAATTCCAACATCCATGTCATTTGTAGGTCGACAAACAGCAGCCATTTCACTTCATGAGCACTACAGTTTAGCATTCTCCATTGCATACAATCATCATTTTTTCATTCTAATTCCTCCAGATCACAGATTCTTTTTCCAAAGTACTGTGAGCTTGCTTACCCGTCTTCAAACCCATGTGTATGAATCACGGAGTGTCTTTATTCATATATGAAATGATTCATTGAGATAGTAACAATGAGGAGATGCAACATAACGTGGACGGTAAAATTCTCAGGGGCTGCATGAGCAAAGGGACCAACAAGTTCTATGCACTTCTTTTCTACAGAAGATGGCAGCTTCACTTCAAAAAATAGTCAAACCAAAAGTCATATGACAGAATTAGGCCATTCGGCCCATCACATTTACTTCACAATTTGATCATGACTGATACGTTTCTCAAATCCATTCTCCTGCTTCCACCACCCCACCAAGCACTCAATACCCTTACCAATCAAGAATCGGTCGATTTGTCTGAAATACACTCAATGACCTGGCCCCCATAGCCCTCTGCAGCAGCGAGTTCGGTTCCATAGATTAACCACCTTCAGCTGGAAGATATTCATCCTCATCTCAGTTCTAAAGGGTCATCAATTCACTCTGAGGCGGTGTTCTCGGGTCCTGGTCTTTCTGATGAGTGAAAACATCTTCCTCAATCAAGGTTTCTCAGTGTTCTCTAAGTTTCAGTCAGATCCCCCCCTCATCCTTCAAAGTCCACAGAGGGCAGACCCAGAATCCTCAACTGTTCATCATACAACAAGCCCTTCATCCCCAGAAACATTCTTATCTATCTCCTCTGGATCCCCTCCAATGCCAGCATACATTCTTCCTCAAATAAAGGGCCCCAAAACTGTGCACAATATTCCAAACACTGTCTGATCAGAGCCTTACAGTCTCAGCAGTACCATTCTGCTGTTGTATTCTCGCCCTCTTGAAATGAATGCTAATACTACATTTGCCTTCCTTACTGCCAACTGCCACTGCATGCTAACCTAAAGAGAATCCTGAACTTGGACTCCCAAGTCCCTTTGTGCTTCATACTTCTGAAGCCTTTTCCAATTTAGAAAATAATTTACGCCTCTGTTCTTCCAACCGTAGTGCATAACTTCACACTTTACCACATTCTGTTCCATCTTCCACTCCTTCGCTCAGTCTGTCCAAACCTTCTGCAGCGTTTCGGCTTCCACACAAAACCTGCCCCTCCACCTATCTTTGTGTTGTCTTCAAACTTAGCCACAATGCCCTCAGCTCCTTTGTCCAGATTGTTAATGTATAACGTGAATACTTGTGCTCCCAACATGGACCCCTAGAGAACTCTACTGTCACAAGCTGCCATCCTGAAACAGACCCCTTTATGCCCACTGTCTGCCTTCTGCCAGACAGCCAATGCTGAATCCATGCCAGTACGTTATCCTAACACCATGCACTCGTATTGTATTCAGCAGCGGCCTGTGCACACTTTGTCAAAGGCCTTCTGGAAATCCCAATAAACAACATGCACTGGCTCTCTTTTGTCTAATCAGCTCATTACCACTCAAAAGACTTGTCAGACACGATGTCCTCTAGACAAAGCTGTACTGACTCAGCCCTATTTCACCTTGCACTTCAAAGTACTCCACAATCTTATCCTTAATAGCGAGCTTTAAAATATTACCAACGACCAAGGCCAGGCAAACCCTCTTCTGCCTCCATTCCTTCTTAAAACTGGGTATTACATTCATCATTTTCCAGTACTTTGGGACCCTCCCTGCCTGCAGTAATTCCTGAAAACTCACCACCAATGCCTCTACAATTCCTCTGCTATCGCCTTCAGGACTGTGAGGTGTAATCCGTGTGGTCTGTGAGATTTATCCGTCTTCAGCTACCACAGTACCTTCTCGCTAAAGATGACCACTGCACTCATCTCTGCCTCTGACTCTCCAAGTTCTGTTATGCTGGTTCCTTCCACAGTGAAAACTGATGCCAAGTACCAAGTCAGTTCCTCTGCCATTTCTTTGATCCCCGAGTCCTTTTCTTGCCTCATTTTTCAATGTCCAATCTGCATGTTTGCTTTTCTCTCACTTTTTTAGATATCTTTATAAAAACTCTCGCAATCTTCTTTAATATCAGTAGCTATCTTAGTTTCATATTTCACCTTCACCCTCCTTATTGCTTCTAGTTGGTCTCTGCTGATTTTTAAAAGCTTCCCCATCCTCTGGCTTCCCACTCATCTTCACCACATTGTATGCTTTCTCTTTCGCTTTTATGGTGTCCCTAACTTCTCTTGTCAGCCATGGTTGCCTCATCCTCCCCCTTAGCAAATTTCTTCTTCCTTGGGATGAATTTCTGCTGTGTCTTCCAAATTACCGCCAGAAATTTCTGCTTGGCTTGCCTTTCAATCAATTCTACCCAGCTCCTCCCTCATGCTTTTGTAGTTTCCTTTACTCTACTGTAACACTGTTACATCTGATTCCACCTTCTCCGTCTCAAACTGCAGGGTGAATTCTACAATATTGCGGTCACTGGACCTGAGCAGTTCCTTCACCTTAAGCTGCTTCATCCAGTCTGCCTCATCACATCACCAAATCCAGAACTGCCTGTTCCCAAGTGGGCTCCAACTCAAGCTGTTGCAAAAAACCATCTCCGAGACATTCCATGAATTCCTTGTCTTGATATCTGCTTCTCACCTGATTTTCCCAGTCCACCTGCATCTTGAAGTTCTCCATGTATCGTGTAATACTGCCCTTCTTACATGCTTTTTCTATCTCCTAATGTATTTTCTTCCCCACATCCTGACTAGTCTTCACAGACCTGTGCACAACTTCCAGCAGGATCTTTTTTTCCTTTGCGGTCCCTCAACTCTATCAAACAGATTCTACACCTTCCAGCACTACATAACTTCTTCTGAGCAATTTCATTTCATTTCTTACAGACGAAACAACCCTGCCCCTTCAACCTGTCTACCTGGCTTTTCGACAGGATGTGTATCCTTGGATATTTACTTACCAGTCCTGACTACCTTGCAGCCACATCTCTGTGATACCCACAACATCGTACCTGCCAATTTCAATCTGCGCTACAAGCTCATTTACCTTGTTTCGTATACTGTGTGCAGTTAAGTACAGCACCCTCAGTACTGCATTGACAGGCCCCCCCATCTCTTAGTTGTCTCGTCACCTGCTGTACCTGCAGTTAGATTGGTGACCCTTTCCACACTATAAGGTACAGAGAAATGAAGTCAAGATTTATCAGTAGGGGCCTAGAACACAAAAACACGGACATTAGATGAAAACCTATACAACACTGATGACAGTGGTATGTCCAGTTCAGGGCACCAAACTGTCAGTAAGTAAAGGCAACACAGAGGATGCAGAAAAAAATTCACACAAGTCAGTTCAGGGATGAGGAACACACATGAAACACATGGGATGGAGACGATGGGTTTGGTCTCTTTGGAGAAGTGAAAATTAAGAGGGTGAAGGTGTTCAAAACCATAGAGGGATCCAGACAGAGTTGACAGACAGAAACTGCTTTGATTTACAGCAAGATTTTAAAAGTAGGAAATGTTGATTTAAGCTAAGTGGCAAAAGGATGAAGGACAATAGGAGCCTAGCATTTTTGTGACACAATAAAGATGTGGAATGCACTAGCTGAGTGTGTGGTTGAAGCAGATTCAACTCGTTTTCAAAAGCCAGTTATCCTAAGAAAATATAATTTCAGGGTACAAAGTAAAGCCAGACAGGTGGGTATCTGTGAGTTACTTTGGCAGACTGCCAGTACAGATATAACTGGCCACATGACTGCTTTCTGTGCTGCTGGAACCACTTGTACAATTCAATAATTCTCTGCTCACTCTGAAAAATCTTACCATTTACTTTACATTGTTATTCTCATTGTTCCTTCCAAAATGCATCCAATTGTCTGATTTTAAAATTCTGTTCACGAGTCATTTAAGTTGCAATACCGGGGAACAGATACAGCCAAGTACAAACACTAGATAGGAAGCAGTCAGACAGTGAGTCAAACCCTGTGACAAATAATATCTGCAATGCAGTAGAGAATCTGTCACATTGACTTCGCGCAGTGAGGTGACACTTGAGTGAAACAAGCAAAGATACCAATCCATTTCAGATCTCCTGCAAAAGACAACTGCTATTACCAATATCCTCACAGCCACTACAAAGACAGATACCGATTCCTTTTTTTTTCCATTTTATCTTAGAATAAATGTGCACACATACTTGATCGGCTCAGAGTGCTCCTTTTTCGCAACTGGTGCAGCAGCAGCGCCCTCTTGCGGTGGATCACTCATGGTGGGTTGCTGTAAACCTGCAGGCATCTTTTGATCATCATTCTGCGTGCGCTTGGTGTTCTGTTCGTCCGACTCTCTTGCTTCTGCTTCAGGTTGTTCCTCTGCTGTTGACTCAACCTCGACCTCCTGGCCAGGAAGTGGAACACATGGTTTGTCCTCTTCCACATTCCTGCTCTTCAGTTTCCGCTCCAGTTCTTTCAGCCGTCTCTCATTATCTTGAATAGAATAATGTTCAAACTTTTTGAAAGCCTTGAAAACAAGATGAAGCACTCGTGAAAACATTTGACTGCATCTGTCCCACTTGTACACAAGATTATAGCCACAAGACCTCACATTAAGTAAAGCTATTCAAGGACAGGGTGCTTACAGATCAGCCACAGTTCCACTAAATGGCAAAGCAGGCAAGGAGAGATAAATATCTGACAACTTTTACTATAATCCTAAACTAACATGCACCTAGGAGACAGATAAAATATGAGTAATATAAATAAGGTGAATAGCAAAGGTTTTTTTTCCCCTTGGGTAGGAAAATTCAAAATTACAGGGCATAATTTTAAAGTGACAGGAGAAAGACTAAACAGGAACCCAATGGGCAACCTTTTCAGAGAAGGCTGTTCGTACGTGGACTGAACTGTCAGAAGAACTGGTAGATGAAGGTACAGGTGTAACATTTAAAAGGCATTTGGACAGGTACATGAAGAGGAAATGTAAAGAGGGATACGGGCCAAATGCAAGCAAATGGAACTAGTTTAACGTGGTAACCTTGGTCGGCATGAACAAGTTGCACAGAAGGGTCTGTTTCCATTCTGTATGATTCTCAACAATTTAAAAGCTTTTGGTTGCAGTGGGGTTAAGGAATATTTTGCTAGAACACTGCCATTTCCCTTGTAGAAACTATGACAAGACTGAGACATTTCAAGTCTCCGCCAATTCACACCCAATTCAGAGGGAATTTAAGAATTCTAAATTCAAATCCTTCATAGTATAGAACTACGATGAACCAGCTGAACATTCATTTTGTAAAGCACCTTGATCAAAACATCAACAGGATCCAAGATAGGATCACGTACATATTACAAATGTAAAATACTGAAGATGCTGAAAATCTAAAGTAGCAATAGAAAATGGTAGAAATACTCAGCAACATCTGACATCTGTGGAGAGAGAAACAGTGCACATTTCAGGTGGATGATATTTTACTAGATTTGTGCTTCTCAGTATTTGTTTTTTTTTGTTTTACTTATGATTCGATAATGGGGCGGACGACTGACGGCTTGGTCAAGAACGGGAGACTTTAAGGAGAATCTTTAAAGTGTTGAGATCAAGAGGCAAGACATTGAAGGGAAGAAAAGAAAAAACTCTCCAGCTTGTTGCTGAGGCCTCACCTACAACTGACAGACTGATTAAAATTAGGAAACGCAAAAGGCCACAATTGGAGCAGTACAAAGTTCTTAGGCAGATTTACAGCTGGAAGAAGAAACAGAGATGGGGTGGTATGTTTTGGGGGTGAGATTTGAAAACAAACATGGATATTTTTAAATTAACATGCTGCCAGACCAAGAGTCTGTGAGGTCACATGTTGGTGCAATGGAGGTGTGTTCATCGGTGTGGGTGTGTCAGATAATGGCTTTTGACTGGGCCAAATTGGTATTGAAGATCGAAATTCAAGTTTACAAAGAACTGTTAACTCTTCTTACTACTGTACAAGGGTCTGTCAAGAACCAAAGTGTATGAATTGAAATAGAGTACTATTGGGAAATAAAACAAAAATATAAGCTTCGAAATAGTGATGCTGCCAAATGAAAAACATTCATCTCATATTTCCATAACACAAAATTCAGACGTCAGGTGATTGTGAAAGAAACATTATAAATTCAACTGTTCCTTTCTTCTGAAGGCTAATTCTTTTGATAAGCAAGTCCCAACAAATTAAGCACATCTACACTCTAAGGCAATCCAAGTTACTTTTGATTTGCAGAAACTTTTTCCAAAAGTAACTGACCTGCTCTTGTTTAAATTGTGGGCCATCAACTATAATGGATTCATTCTATTTCTATAACTTTCAAGTTGAAAAGCTGCTCAGATGGCACAAAGGTTCACTTAACTGTGCATTTGACAGTGCATCTTGGTCAGGAATCACAAGCTTAGTCCAACAATCCAACTTTCTCAATTCAAAGGTGGGGAAAGGCAAGTCAGAGGGCTCCAAAAAACTGCAGTCAAATTTCTATCTTTACTGCAACAGGATCTCTTTCAATACCAGACGTTTTTTCCAATAGTTCAACAGAAGCATAATGCCTTCCTCTTGAAAAGGCAACAGAAATCTGACAGAAGAACAGGAGTAAGCCATTGAGCCTGTTCCATCATTCTAAGAAATAATGGCTGATTTGTTGCTTGACTTCATATGCCTGCCTTTGGCACATATCCCTCCGTATATTTGCTTCATAAAAATGTCGATGTAAAATCAACAAAAACTGATCCTGCATCCATTGTCTCTTGTGGAAGAGTTCCAAACACATCCTAGCCTTTGCATATACAAATGCTTCCGAACATCTCTCCCCAACGATCCGGTCCAAATTCTCAGACTACGGCACTCTAGTCCTGGAATCCCCAAACAGTGGAAAGCATTTATATTTATCTACCCTTTCCTTTCCTGTTAAGGCACTGAAGAAGGGTCACTGGACTTGAAATGTTAAGTCTGCTTTCTCTCCACAGACTCTGCCAGACCTGCTCAGTTTCCTCAAGCAATTTGTTTTTGTTTGAGAGAGAAATATCGTTCAATAGACAAAGAGATTGTTGATAGTAAGCGAGGGAAGGGGAAAAGCTGATAAGGAGAAAAATGACTAGGTAAAGATGGATTGGCTGCACTGAAAGCGACTGCACCCGAAACATAAACTCGACTTTCTCTTTTGACATGGAAATCTGCTTTTATTGCGGATATTGATGGCTAGTCTATCCCCATACATGGAAACAGAGGTGTCGAGGAAGGAAAGGCAGGAGTCAGAGACAGACCAGGTGAAGGTGGGAGCAAGGTGGAAACTGGAAGCCAAATTGATCATTTTTTCCCAATTCTGGGAGAGGGAAGCAGCACCAATGATGTCAGTGATGTACTAGAGAAAACGTTGTGGGTGAAGGGGCCACAAGTCAGACACGAAAAGTTATGTTCCAAATAACCAACAAAGAGACAGGCATAACTGGGGCCCAAGCGGGTACCCACAGCCATACCGTTGATCTGAAAAAACTGACAGGAATTTAAGCAGGTGTTGTTTGAAGTGAGGATGAACTCGATCAGGTGGAGGAGGGTGGTGGTGGAAGATGGGAATGGTTGAGCGCCTCCGTAAAGAAGCAGAGAGCCCAAAGACAATCTGATCGGGAATGAACATGTAAAGGGATTGTGTGTCCATGGTCGAGGGGATGCAGCTGTTGCCGGCAAAATGAAAATACTGAAACTGACAGAAAGCATCAGAACAATCCAAGTGGGAAGGGACTGGACAAGGGGGGAAAAAAGTGAGTCAAAAGCATGAAGACATTAAGTTCCATGGGGCAAGGGTCGGCAGAAATATCGTGTTTGTGGACTTTGGGAAGAAACTGGAAGTGGGCCACGTGGGATTGGAAGACTGTGAGCTTGAACGCTGGAACAAATGACTGCCACAATTAACAAATCATCTCTTCACCCTTCCTCCAGCATCCCTCCCTTGCCAGTGTCATTCCTACCATCCCATCTTCCCTCATGTAAACAATCTCTCCTGTCAGATTAAATTTAGAATAAGGACTCACGAGTGTGCAATGCCCTCTCCACCACCATTCATTGTTCGCAGCTCCGCACATATCATGTGTATCGATCAAAACAACTGATGCACTGTTGTCATTAACTGAACAGTCGAGATGTTGAAAAACTAATTCTCATTGTTATAGATGTTGTATCCCTGTCACTGTTCAAGAAATGGGCACTAGGCCAAACACCACATTTTGAAAGCAATTGTGGGCACTCACAGGTCTCATAAAATACACCTGAATCTGAACAATCTGAAGTAAAAACAGAACATTTTGGACAAACTCAGTAGTCTGGCAGCAAATGCACAGAGGGAGAATTAACTTTGAGTCTGACAGTTCTGAAAGACTCAAGTCAAAGAAAAAACATTAACACTTTTTCTCTCTCTCAACCAATGTTGCCAGACCTGCTGAATTTTTCCAGCAATTTAAGTTTTCATTTCAGATTTCCAACATCCACACTATTTTACTTTTATCAAGCAAGTTGTGCTGCTGTTCACGTTTCATTCCATCCATGAACTAAGTACAGCATTAGATCAGCATTACTCCTGAAAGTCACCTTTTTCTGGCCTCTCACAATGAAATTCTTGTGAACTCAACCACTTTTTAACAAGTTGTCAATAAATTTACTCAACTAGTTACTGTGTGCAGTTCTGTGCTCCTCACCTCGGAGCACTATTTACTTAGATTCTCTGTATGTTTGTGTTGATTCTGTAAATAATTGAAGTGCAAATCCCAGGAAGGTCAAAGGTCACCCATTCAGGGCTGAGTGAGCTGGAATTGGCACAAGGACAGGAGGGTCAACTGAATTGGCTGAAGCCGATGAGTTACTGTATGGTGCCTTTAACTTGGTGGAGTATCCCAAGCTCTTTCACGAGCAATTTCAGCTTGATCTGACACCAAGTCACATGAGAAGACATAGAATCCTTACAGTGTGCAAACAGGCCATTCAGCCCAATAAGTCCACACTGAACCACCGAACAGCATCCCACCCAGACCCAAACCCCTACCCAATCCATGGAACCCTGTGTTTTCTATGGCTAACACACCCAACCTACACATCCCGTAACACTATGGACAATTTAACATGGCCAACCCACCAAACTTGCAGATCTTTGGATTGTGGGAGGAAACCCACACAGACAGTCGCCTCAGGGTGGAGTTAAACTTGGGTCCCTGGCACTGTGAGGCAATGGTGCTAACCACTGAGCCACCCATGATCTTGATTAAGATATGTAGATTTTAAGCTGATACTGGAGAAGGAAAAAAAACGAGGTTGTGAGTCAGAGACACCAGGTTCCCCACTCGAAACACTTCACTGCTTCAGATCCAGATGACTGAAGGCACATGGGCATTACTAGAACTAAAGTCAGACATGCAAGAACCAGAATTGGAGTGGAACAGAAAGCGTCTAGAGTCTTGGCCTGGGGTACATTTGATTGAAGGAGAAGCAAAGATCTGTTCTAGAATCTGAAAGCAGCAATCGAGGTGTCGTTGGACGGGGTGTGTGCACCCGAAGTTGGGTGACTACCCTTCTGTACTCCCCTCCAAAGCTGTGCACTCCAACCTCCACTGCCCCTATTCCTCTAGCCACCTGTAAACCTCCTGCAGCAATGCACCCGCTTGTTCTTGACCCTTGGGCTGGGGCCAGCAGGTGCTTTTTGGCCACCCAGTCCATGCCCCTCATCACTGCAGCAAATGGGACTTGAACTCAGATGTTTTGGCCCAGAGGTAGGTACACAATCAATCAACACGCCACAAAAGCCCTGAATAATGGAATTTAAGGAAGATGAGGTGCCAGCCGGTGCACTGAAACAACTAAGTTCAAAGGGGCAAAAAGGAACCAAAAACAAAAATGCATCAGTGAGGGAGAGTAGCTGAGAGGGTGGCTTTTCGACCAGAACACTTTCAGATTTGACATTGGGCTGTCTTGGTCCACAAGTGGATGGAGGCGAAAGCCTGGGTTTGAACTTGAGCAGGACACGGAGTTAGTCGGGAGGGAGGCGACAGAGAAAGCGAACCGGTGCCTTGGCGGCGGTGGGGGCCGCCTCCGTCCGCGGGCACTCACCCTCAGGGCCAGCTTCTCGGCCACTCCGGGTGGGAACCCCAGCCTGTCCTCCTTCACCGCCATCACTCGGAAAAAGTCGGTCTTCCTATACAGGAAGCCGAAGAAAACTTCCAGAAAGTTCTCGATCTTGCCGACATGCTGCAGGATGCCCAGCAGCGCCTGGTCGTACATCTCGGTCACCTCGGGAGGGCCGTCCATGGCCGCCTCGTCCCTTATCCTCCTGGACCCCCGGGGTCTCCCTGGAGACTCGACAATAATCTCGATCCTTTTGTTTTCTTTCTTGGTTTCAGTTTTCTCCCCCGTCCCTTTCGCGCGTCTCCCTCCTCCCGGCCGCTCGCCCGAGGGACTTCCGGCGGAACCGGTCCGTCACCCACAGTCATCCCCCGCCCCCGCGTGCCCCATCTCTAACCTTCCCCCGGCCACAACGCAAACGCGACTGGAGACCAAATAAGAGGTGGAGCTGATGTCTGGAGTGCATCCGGTGATGAAGGCAGGTTCAAATGGGTGCATTCAAAAGGGAATTAGATGGATTTTATAAGCAAACCGTTCGGGGATGTTTGAACGCAGACCTCCTGAGTCAGAGGAGAGACACAACAATGCCTGTTGTTCCTCAGGAAGCTAAGGAAATTCACCATGCCCATAACCACCCTCACCCACTTTTACAGATGCACCATAGAAAGCACTCTGTCTGGATGCATCACGGCTTGGTATGGCAACTGCTCTGCTCAGGACCGTAAGAAACTACACAAAGTTGTGTGCACAGCCCAGACCGTCATGCAAGCCAACTTTCAATCCATTGACTTCATATACACTTTGAGATGCCACGGAAATGCAGCCAAGATGATCAAAGACCCCTCCCACACCCAGGCAGAAGATACAAAAGCTTAACCAGAAATCCCAACAGGTTCAAGAACAGAGATAGTAGGAACTGCCGATGCTGGGGAATCTGTGATAACAAGGTGTGGAGCTGGATGAACACAGCAGGCCAAGCAGCTGTGAAGAAGGGTCTCGACCCAAAACGTCAGTTTTCCTGCTCCTCTGATGCTGCTTGGCCTGCTGTGTTCATCCAGCTCTACACCTTGTTATCTCAGGTTCAAGAACAGCTTCCTCTGAACGGACCTCTCAAATTTCAAATCCAATGTTTATCTTGCTTTTTGTGCACCTTCTTTCCGGCTGTAACTTAGTCTTCCTTACTCTGTTCAATCACCCTATGATCTTGGTATGTGATGATCTGCCTGTACGGCACGCAAAACAAAATGTTGCACTGTACCTAAGTACACGTGACAATAATAAATCAAATCAAATCACAACCACTGCATCAGCACGGCCCTGCAAAGGGAATTTGATAGCTTTCCAAAGAAGAAATAAGCTGCAAGATTCGACTGAGAGTATAAAAGTATGAAACAAAGTATGTTGCTGATTGGCAAACACAAGAATAAAATAGGTTCCTAACTTGCAACAATTCTTGACAACTAACTGACATTTTAGAAGTCTGTGAGGTCAAAACAGATTTTTGTTTTCCTTTGAGGTCTGTCTATAAGGATCATTGGTGAATTTCTGCATCTTGTAGATAGTACACACTGCTGCCACTGAGCATCGCTGGTGCAGGGAGTGGATGCTTACTGATGTGGTGCCAATAAGGCAGCTGCTCTGTTCTGGATAGTAGTGAAACTTCTTGATTTGATTTATTGTTTGATTTGATTTGATTTATTATTGTCACATATACTGAGATATAGCAAAAGGTTTTGTTTTACATGCTATCCAGGCAAATCATACCTCACACAAATGCATTAGGGAAGTAGAACAGAATACAGAATATTATGTTACAGCTACAGAGAAGATGCAGAGAAAGATCACCTCTAATATATGAGCAGTCCAATCAAGGTCTAATAAAAGCAAGGAAGAAGCTTTTCTTGAATCTGTTGGTCCACATTTTCAAATTTTTCCATCTTCTGTCCGAGAGAAGAAGATGGAAGAGAGCATAACCGGGGTGGGAGGGGTGTTTGATTATGCTCACTGCTGTTCCAAGGCAGTGGTAACTGCAGATGGAGTCAATGGAGAGAAGGCTAAGTTTCGTGATAGACTGTACTGCATTCACAATTCTCTGTAATTTCTTGCAGTTTTGGGCACAGCAGTTGCCATACCGAGCTGTGACACATCTGCATAGAATGCTCTCTATGGTGCATTTATGAAATTGGAAAGAGTAATTGTAGACCTGCTGAATTTCCTTAGCCTTCTGAGGAAGTTGAGGCGTGGGTGCACTGTCTTGACTGTAGCGTCAACATGGATGAACCAGGATAGATCACTGGTGATATTTACTCCGAAGCACTTGAAGCTCTCAACCACTTGACCTCAGCACCATTAATACAGGCGCGGGCGTGTCCTCCACTCCACTCCACTCCACTTCCTGAAGTCGATGACCAGCTCCTTCATTTTGCTGGCATTGAGAGAGAGAGAGAGATTGTTGCTTTTGCACCATGCCACTAAGCTGTCTATCTTTTTCCTGTACTCTGTCACGATGGTGGTGTCATCAGCAAATTTATCAATCCAGTTAAAGCTAAATTTGACCACACAGTTGTGAGTGTATAGGGAGTATAGTAAGGGGCTGAGTACACAGCCTTGTGGGACACCAGTAAGGATTATCGTGGAGGAGGTGTTGTTAATGATGGCGGTCTGTGGGTGAGGAATTCAAGGATCCAGTTGCAGAGGGCGGAGCAGAAACCTATGTTTTGTTGTTTGGAAGTTAGGAATTATACTGTTGAAGGCAGAGCTGTTGTCAATCTGTAAGAGCCTGATGTGGGTATTCTCATTATCCAAATGTTCCAGGGATCAGTGTCGGTCCAAGAAGATGGCGTTTGCCATGGACCTATTACGACGGTTGGCAAATTCTAGTGGATCAAGGCAGTCGGGGAGGCTGGAGTTGATGTGTGCCATTACTAACCTCTCGAAGCATTTCTTAATGATGGATTTCAGAGCCGCTAGGTGGTAAGTCATTGAGGCAGGCTGTCTGATATGTCTTTGGCACCGGGCTGATAGTGGTCTTCTTGAAGTCGGTGGGAACTTCAGATCGTAGTAAGGAGAGGTTAAAGATGTCAGTGAATAGTCCAGCCAGCTGGTCTGCACAGGATCTGAGTGCATGGCCAGGGCCTCCATCCGGGCCAGTTACTTTCCATAGGTTCACCCTAAAGATGCTGATCTGACATTTGCAGCAGTGACTTTGTGTACAGGTGGACCTGAAGCTGCAGGGCAGGTCACATCATTTCACTGACAGTTGGTTTCAAACGAGCACAAAATGCATTGAGCTCGTCGGGGAGGATTGCAACGTTGCCAGCAATTCTATTCAACTTCACTTTGTCGCCTGTTATATCATGCCAGCCTTGCCACAATCGACGTGCAGTTGTGTAGTTAGTCTGGGACGCTAGTTTAGTCTGGTGTCCTTGTCTCTTGGTGTCCCTGATGGCTTTGCAAGGGTCGTACCTAGATTTCCTGTATAGGTCAGGGTCACCCGATTTGAATGCCTCAGACCTGGACTTCAGTAGGGAGAACATCTCCCATTTCATCCATGGTTTCCGTTTGGGGAACACTCGGATTAACTTCTTTGGCAAGCATCTTCCAGACAATTACTAATTAAGTCTGTGATGGTAGTGCTATTATCATTTTGGTTGGTCACCAAGTTCTTAAGATGGACCAGTCCACCGACTCCACGCAGTAACAAAGGAGCTCATCCGTTACTTCACACCAGCACTAGACAACTTTATGTCCCAGGTCCTCGTGCTTCAGTTTCTGCTTGTAATCCAAGAAAAGGTGCACAGTCTTATGGTTCGATTTTCCAAAATATGGGCAGGAGTTAGAGCAGTTGGTGTCTTTCATGATTATGTCACAACGGTGAAGGGTGCTTGGGCCTCTAGTGGGACAGGAGATATGTTGATGGTATCTTGATAGCATACTCTTGATGGGAGCATGGTTCGATTCGCTGGCTACAACGAACAAGTCCTCAGGGTATTCCATCTCAAGGCTATTTGTAGCAATGTACATTTCGTCAAGTGCAATCTTCACTTCTGCATGGAGGCGGATGTAAACTGCTGTCAGGCTAGCAGAAGTGAACTCCCACGGCAGGTAGTAGGTACAGCATTTGACTGTTCTACATCTGGGGAGCAGTAACTTGCCAGGGTCATCACATCTGAGCATCAAGAGGTGTTGATCAGGAGGCAGACTCCTGTGCCCCATGCCTTGCTCAAGGATGTTGTGTGGACCATCTGATAAATTCAGAAACAGTCAGGTGAAGCAGGAGTGAGCCATATCTTTGTAAAACAGTGCACACAGCAGGCCACTCAATTCCCTTTGGTAGGTGAGACCAGCTTTAAGTTTGTCCAGCTTGTACCTTTGCCAGGAGTATGCTGAACATGAAACTGCATCACCTGCAGGCCAGCACATCTCTCCCGTTTCCTGGGTAAGAGGCTGCTTCTGGTCGGGCCCAGGAGTCAGTGTAGGTCGTCTGCAGTTCCAGAAGGTACACGGGTGCATCCAGTAGGGTCATGGACACCGATCGCAGCCTTGGGTACACCAGAGGGTGTATTGATCTCGATCTGGCTGGGCCACAAAGTCAGGTCTCCACAAGGTCAGGTAAGGTCGCAGAGATGGGTTGCCGATCGACATCTGGTGTTGGGCCTTCCAAAAGCCAGTAAGTGGTTCGTCTCTTTGTTGTCATGGTCGCGGATCCAGTGTTAGCAGTTGGGCCCCACTCACCACACTCCAGCGCCATTTTGGAAGCGGTCTCGAGTGTTGTCCCAGTTGTACTCATCCATGCAAGTAGGGAGTATTCCATCGCACGCCCGACATGTACCTTATAGATGATGGGCAGGCTCTGGGGAGTCTGGAGGCGAGTTACTCGCCGCAGTATTCCGAGCTTCTGGCCTGCCATTGTAGCCACTGTGTTTGTGTGGTGAGTCCGGTTGAGTTTCTGGCCAATGGTAACCCACAGGATGTTGATAGTGGGGGATTCAGTGATGATAACCCCATTGAATGTCAAGGGGCAGTGGTTCGATTGGCTCTTATTGGAGATGTTCATTGCCTGGAATGACTGGCGTGAATATTACTTGCCACTTGTCAGCCCAAGGCTGGATATTGTCCAGATCTTGTTGCATTTAAGCACAGACAGCTTCAGTATCTGAGGAGTCACAAATGATACCTAACTTTGTGCAGTCATCACCAAATATCGCTGGCTGTGACCTGAGGATGGAGCCAAAGGTGCTATCTTATTCTGAGGTACTCGTGCAGAGATGTCCTTTAGCTGAGATGACTGACCTCCAACAACCACAATTATCTTCCTTTGTGTCAGGTATGACTCCACCCGCAGTGAGTTTG